ACATAGGAGTGAGGAGCCAGAACAACTGAAAAAAGGAGCCACTCAGAGGCCAGTGAGTCATTGCAAGGGACCTGCACAGGGCCCATCCCATGGGAGGTGTTTAGAGTATAGGTGGTAGGGGAGACAGGCCCACCCAGGGAGTATTGTGGCACAGCATGGACAGCTGTCTGCCCCCCAATCAATACAGGACCACTCAGTATAGATTGCTCAGGAATATAGAACTATAGGGGGTGCAGTTTGATGAAAAGACTCAGACCAAGACCAGAGTTTCCACACAAGCCAGGTGTACCAAACCTCATGAGACCTGGAAGTACATACAATATAAACAAAACCTGAGCTGCACAAAAAGCCTTCCCCAGGGAATAAGCAGCAAAGCAGCAATTTAGCTCAACTACATGGCTCAAGTGCTGGTCCCTACAGGAAGTTCCCCCATTTTAGAAGTAAGCAAAGGACAACAAATTAGTTCCAGTGCAGAGTTTAAATGGTGGGAACAGCAAACAATCCAACACAGAACTGAAAGAAAAAAACAAAGTACCCGGGGCCGGCCCGGTGGCGCACTGGATAAGTGCGCCGCTTGGGAAGCGCGGCGGCGCTCCCGCCCGAGGGTTCGGATCCCACATACAGACCGGTTCCCGCTCACTGGCTGAGTGAGGCGCGGGAGCAACACCGAGGGTTGCAATCCCGTTGCCGGTCCCCGGTCCGGTATGGGGGCAACACTGAGGGTTGCGATCCGTTGCCGGACACGGAAAAAGACAAAGGACAAAAAAATAAAAATAAATAAAAATAAAAAAAAATAAAAATAAAAGTAGAAATAAATATTTAAAAAAAAAAAAAACAAAGTACCCACAACCAGAGACAAAGTTTGATATTAACTAGTAAAGGTCTAATGCCACCAAAGAACACCTATAAAACCTAGAAGGACTAGAAGCCCCTTGAGATCCCAAGCTAGGGAGAGGAGAGATGTGTGGGCCTCAGCCATGCCCCCTGACGTCTGCAACCAGCCCAGCAATGACCACTGAGCTGCTGCTGATATTGCCCTGGGTTCCCGAGCCAGGGCGTTGGGGGTCCAAGAGCCTAAGCCAAGCATCCCCAACATCTGCATCCAGCCCAGCAACAACTGAGCTACTACTGGAAGCCCCTTGGTCTCCCCTGCAGGAATGAGGGGGGTGCCAGGGGCCTCAACCACGCCCCCCGTCTCCTTCTCCCCCTCTATTTCCTTCCCCCTTTCCCTCTCCCCCTCCTCCCCAAATGCTCCATAACATCTTAGAATGCAAAAAATATAATAATATTAATAAATAAGCTTAAAAAAAAAAAGAAAGAAACATGCCAATGGCCACCATTATTAATCCATTCATTAGGGCATGGTGCTAAGAATCTAATCACCTCTTCAAGTCCCCACCTTTCAATTACCATAACAGAATTTCCCACCCTCAACAGTTACAATGGGGATCAAGCTTCTAATACATGAAACTTGGGGAACACAATTCAATCCATATCAGCCATGAACCTAGCTATGGGTGAGAAGAGAAATCTTATCTCCCCTACACTTCCAGTGTTTAAAAATGGGCTGGCCAGTTAGATCACTTGGGAGAGCATGGTGCTGGTAACGTCAAGGTCATGAATTCAGATCCCCATACTGGCCAGCACCAAAAAACAAACACCAAAAATAAATGGGTAAAACAATAAGTTTTGGGAACCAGAATATTTTTCTTCTAAGAATATTTTATTCTTTTACTCATATTACTTTAATGTTCATACATATATTCTGCTATGTTAATAACTTTCCAAATTATGTATCAGTCCATGTACATTATGTAAAATTTTTAAATCTCTATGATATTTCGACTAAGATGCATATTTTAGTTTAGAAACTTTCTGCGTGTTTACATTTATATCAATAAATTAAATACTGTCTCTACAAATGTATTCAAATAGTACATTTGTTTTGGGGTGTTATATAACATGAAATAATTATATATCAATGCAGTATTTTCACATTATTTATATATGCCACCAAGACAAGGTTTTTACACATAAGACTGGTTTTATTGAAATAAAATTTAAATAAATTATGGACAGTCTATTTGTGTGAGTCCCCACTTTCTCCCCTTTTTTGATATATTTTCCACTTGACTATATATAACATATACCCTGGCATGAAATAAAATTCTAAAATCGTTCAAATAGTACAACTAACAAATTGGAATTATATTTTTTAAATGTTAAAAAGAAAAATATAATTGTTTAAGTTTCAGTTACAGTGATTTCTCATTTTCCTACTCTTTTTATCTCTCAACCTACTTCTCAGAGTTTGTTTTTAAGTTGAAGCCACCCTCTACTGAAGCATTCCCATGTGGTTTTAGAATGTTCTGCCTATTTTACATCTGTCAAGGATAAAATGTTTAGACTTATGATTAGGCCCATCAAGACAAAATATTGGGGTGTCAATAATAACCCTTTTTAAATGCATGCCTCTGAGAACAGACTGGTTCTTCAGATAAGAGAAAATACAAGTCATCCTTCATTTCTATCCCAGATTAACTTCCAAAAAACCCAACTGGCTAGACCTGTGCTCTCCAGTATAGTAACCACATGTGTGAGGGACCCATGGTTTCCCCCACTTTTTTCTGTCCTGACGGAGAAACAGAGTGCCTTGACCACCGTGTGACTTGGCCAGCTTCATGTTTTCCCCAGCAGGCTTGAACCCATGAGGACCTGAACATTCCCAGGCACTGATAAGCTTGCTTAGATTGTTGCTCAAAATACTGAAACATCAACCACATTGCTAAACACATAGAAGCTAGCCAAATTCCTTAAACCCTCATTTAAACTCCATAACCCGACCCCCTTGCTGGGGACATACCTAAGCAGAACATCCCTGGTCTCACTGTCTGCCACGAGGATAAGCTGCAGCTCCCTCTATAGGTAAGTTTTCCTAATAAATGTTTTGCACTGATCACCCTGCACTTACTGCTTCTTTCTTTGGAATCCCAACCAACTACATCTTGGGACAGTTAGGGGGAATCCCTTATGGGAATTCCCCAGCTGCCTCTTTTGGGGTGACTCAAGCCTTGGGTTTGGCCGGGATGGAACAATGTGGCTATTTAAATTAAATTTAAAATGTAGTTCTTCAGTCACACCAGTCACTTTCAAGTGCTCAGGAGCCACATGTGTCTGGTGGTTACTACATTGTACAACACAGACGGAGATTTACATCACTGCAGAAAGCTCTATTGGACAGCACTGGGTTGGACCAGAGAGGAGTCCATTCATATATAAATATGTGAATATATGCATATTTTCCTTCTGAATCACAAAGGCTACTAAACAAGTAGTCTTTGAAGCTTATCTTCAAGACAATCAGCCACAATCCTGTCTATGTCGCCCAAGACAGTGGTATAAAAATAGAGATTGTGTACAATTTCTCCAAATCATGTGACATCACAGAAGAGCCCAAAGCCCCATAATGAATCTCACCCTTGCCAAGGTCAAACACAGTCCCGTGGGTCGCCCAAGACAGTGGTATAAAAATAGAGATTGTGTACAATTTCTCCAAATCATGTGACATCATAGAAGAGCCCAAAGCCCCATAATGAATCTCACCCTTGCCAAGGTCAAACACAGTCCCGTGGGCTCCCTCTGGAGAGCAGCATCTTTGCTATGGGCAAAGCTCTCCTGTGGTACCCATAAGGAAACCTTGCTAGGGCTGCTTATCAGTGTGGCCTTATCATCTCCATTACTCTAGATGGCCACAGTGGAGGAAGGGGCCCTGAGGGCACTGCCTCCACTCTTTACCCTGAGGTGGGTCCTGGAACCCCCAAGGTGGCCACTCAGGACAGGATGGCCATCCATACAGGCCATTCAAGGCTTCCCATGATCAACCAGCCCACACTTCCTCAACGAGGGCTACCGCTCATCTGAGCATCCTATGCCCAATGCATGGGCAGACATTCCAGCCCTTCTTCCTACCTTCAAGGCCCAGATCATACCTAAAGTCTCTCCTGAGACTTTAAATTAGTGAATTCAAAATATAACTTAAAACATATAGAAATAGCAGTCCGTATAAACCCAAGGAAAATTATTTGCCATAAAAGAAATAATGCTGTAAAACTCTCTTAAAATAATAAAATAAACTCTCATCCAACTAGTTCAATTTATATCTTCTCAACCCCTTTTCACAATCCCTTTATCCTTGATTCCTGAAAACAATGCATTCAACTTCAGAATTTGGTCTTTAAGTTATAATTTTTTAAAATAATAAATTCTCTAAAATATTAAACATGCATTATTTGGAAACAAGTATATGCAAATGAAGCTATAAATATCAATATATAAACTAACATCACTTCTCTAGCCCATGGACGGAGGTATTCATAGCTTTGAAATTTGAAAATCATTTTTCTTAACAACTGTGACAGCAGTTTCTAGACTGTGTCCTTAAGTGTAAGCCATTAATCCTATATGACATGATCCATAGCACAAAGATTTAAAGCTCCACAAGATAATGAGATTTTGCAGTCTTCTGATGGATGACATCAAAGTTGAAGGCTAAATGATACCTTGGTGGTATAGCTGGGAACTGATTCTGTAACAAAAGGAAAAAATATACTCAACCATTCACCATTTTATTATCAAGTGTAACTACATGCCATGGCCAATGTCAACACACAAATTATTGCTAATTCATGTTTTAAATATAGAGAAAATGTATAGGTGTAAACAATCATTTATCATCATTAAGTCAGCCATCACAAATGTGTAGTGAAGCTTTGGAAATATTTAGATCTAAGATAGAATCATTAACTCTTATTTTTTTGCAATCTTTCCAACCAACTCACAGAGCTACCTCAAGATCTTGGAAACTGTATGA